CCAAAATATTTGTCTCCCAGTACTTCCAAATCCTCCTGATCGCTTTGCATTTTGAGTGTTAAAAGCCCTACATGGTAGTACTAACAGCTGCGCCATAAACAAACAACATTGAAACATGTGAAGTCGGGGCTGTACTGAGGGTTACCTGCCCGTCACCTCCCAGGGGCTCTACCTTCTCTGGGAATGTGGGAGACAGCAGGGCCAGAGAGCATGGCCTTAGTCCCTCCGGCGCAGGGCGCGGATGAGCTGCAGGCACAGCCCGCTCCATAAAAACAATCACAGCCCTCCCCTCCAAAGACGGAAGCCAGGACCTTAGGGACCTTTGCCACAGCCCACCTGCCACCAGCGCCAGGGGAGCAGCTCCAGCTGCGTCCGCTCCCTCCGCGTCTCCCTCCCCGGCTCTGCTGACCGACTATAGGAAATGCTAATAAAACATCCTCTGGCGAAGCCTCATTATCCAGCATTGAGGCCGCCAAGAGAAACCGATGTCTCTCACTATCCTGTGCTTTCGCTGCCACTTGAGATTCTATAGGGTACGCAGCAGGAGTAAAAGGAAGAGGAGAGGAGAGTGCAGGCAAAACAGGAGCCGAGGGAACAACAGTCATAGATTTAGACTCCTTGCATTTATACTTTCGTTTCACCAGTTTCTTAAAAAGCGAAACTACTTCCATAGCGCCCCCTTCATATTCTCCCTCTGACGATGATTCAGAAATTGTTGGATTTAAATTTTCCTCCTCTTCTTCACTATCTGGAGGATCGGGGTCAGGCAATTACTCAGGAATTGCCTCATATACCCTCTCTTTTTCTCCCTGCTCTTCAGGTAAAGTCCCTTGATTAGCCTGTTCTTCCTGATTAGAGAGCAAGGAAGCAGCATCTGCAGATGAACTATCTAGTAACCTAAGAGCCTGAGTAATAGCTCCGCACAATGTCCATCATTTCAAATCCATAGTTTTGCCTTGCTGATGGCATTTACGAAGAGTCCTAATGACTTCTTTCCATTCTCTAAGATTGAGCTGAACCTTATGCTGAGATGCAAACCAATAGCAATGAGTCCCTATATGCTGAAACAACTGATCTGACGTCTTTTCTTTTGTTTTTACTCCTATTGAGTACAACAACCCTTTAAGTAAATTCTTATACTCCTGTTCCTTCGATGAGGAATTTCCCATGATTATTGATTCCGAAAATCCCCTTATTTTCCAGGGGCAACCTTTTCGGTTCTGCTTTCCCCTTATTTTACTTACTGAATTCCGCGTCTCGGATCCTGCCAACTATGCCACTTGTCGCCTCCCGTGTGTCAGGAGGGGGGGTGGGGAGGGAATGAACAAAGAAACAGACAAACACAAAAGACAGGGTACAAGACTGCAGCACCGAGTTTTATTTTTATATTCTCTACCTACATTAGGCTAGGTCCCAAGAATTCACTGACTTCACTCTTGTTATAATCAAACTATTCCTTGATCTGTAAGGTTAATGAGTTCCTTGGGAGTCAACCATATCCCGTTTGCAGGCATATGTTGTAACATACTTGTTTGCAAGCTATGTGCTCTCCAAGGCTATGGGAACATTCCAGAGCTTGTTTGCAAGACATCTGGGCTCCTTCCAAGTTATCTGTGTGCAGAATAACAAGGTTTAACTCTATAAGACCTTACAGAGATTGGACCTTAAAAGTTCTCATTGCTAGAACAATATGTTTCATCATGATGATGAATGTTAACTGGAACAATTGAGGTAATTATTTCAAAACACATGCAAAGAATGAGCCTTTACATGGTAACCCAAGCTAATGTGATGTCCATCACACCTCAATTAAAAGGAGAAAAAGAAAAAAACTGCCTCCTGAAATATAAAAATTATTTAATAAATAATTATTAAATTTTTTACACATATTAAACACTGAAGCCAGACTAGTCACAGTATTATAGCACTTATTCAGCTATGATCATACAGATATTCCTACTGTAAATGGAGTGTTTGTTATTTTTCAAACAGAAAAGAAACTTTTTATTCAATACTAAAATTACTTCACAAATATAAATGCTGTTTTATAATGAAACTCCTATGTTGTTGGACACAAAGACAATTCCACATAATCATTTTATATAAATCCTTTCCCTCAATAAAATAAATTTTTCTTTTTCTTTTTTTTACATTTTTAAAAATAAATTTTTATTAGAAAAGTCACCCCACCCTGGCCGATTTGGCTCAGTGGTTGGAGCGTTGGCCTGTGGACCAGAGAGTCCCCGGTTTGGTTCCCGCTAGGGGCACGTACCAAAAAAAAAAAAAAATTAAAAAAAGAAAAGAAAAGAAAAGAGTCACCCGACTTGTTTACAATTATGGCCATTTTCCTGCTATGACATTAGAGTTGTGAAGTTCCAACAGACTGACGTGACTTGAAAACATAAAATATTTGCTATCTGGCCCTTTAAGACAAAATTTGCTAATCTCTACTATAAATAGGGTTGATGGAACAGGCAAGAGTTGGGTGGACCCGACTGTGCCACTGACTCTCTGAGTGCCCTTGGGTAGATTGTTTAACCTTTCTGAGCCCCATCTCCACACTTGTGAAAGAGTAACTGTGCTGACCTCATAGCATAGTTATGGGGTCACAGGAACTAGAGAAGATGGGTGATCATTTAATTAGAGGAATCATTTAGCAAAAGCATTCATTTGGGGGGGTTGTTACCATATAAACTAATAATAGCTGTTACCTCTCAGCTTGGCTTCCTTTCTTTTAGAAGTTTATGTAACACTTCTTTTTCTTGTCTAATTGTGTAGGTTACAACCACTGAAAACAGTGATTCTCAACCTGGCTGGCTGATCGGATCTGCCTTTCCTCCTGGGTAAAGGAGGGAATGGACACCCAGGCCCAGAGCCTTCCATAGAGTGACCTCTCATCTAAACGGTAGATGGCATTATCTGTCATCCTTTTAAAGGAGAGTGAATTACAGCAAACTGCCTTGTAAAGAGAACTTATGGGATTCCAAATGACCCTTTTTTGGAGCCCTTGGGATCTCTAGGGCAAGCACTTGTGGACTTAGTTGAAGACATTGGTTCTCAGCCAGGGATAAGTCTGCCCCCAGGGGACTTTGGCAGCATCTGCAGACATTTTTTATTGTCACTATCATCACTAGACCATCTAGTGACATCTAGAGGGTAGGGGTCAGGGATGCTGCTAAACATCCTACAGGGCATATGAAAGCCCCTCACATAAAAGAATTACTAAAAATGTCAATAGTGAGAAACACTGCTTTAAAACAATGTTAAACAATAGCAGCGGTTGTGGGAATCCCTGTCTTGTTGCAGATGTTAATGGGATTTTTCATTCAGGGAAATCAGTGTTTTGTGATGGAGTGTCCAGTCTCTGTCAGCCCCCGCTTCTTACCCCCACCCCTACTCCAGCATTGGCTCAACCTCCACCACGGTGTAGCCATCGCTGGACTCAGCGCCTCCAGTGGCCCCGCTGCGTTGGGTGGCGCGCCCAGCAGGCAGCAGAAGATCCCGTTGGTTACCCGGGTCAGCATGGTGTGTTCTCAACGAGGCTCGGGGCAGGGGCAGGGCAGAGGGGTCCCTGGCAGAGAAGCCAGAGTCCGCCTGCGGGCGCCGTTTACCTGGGGGCGCGGGGTCAGGCCGGGAGCGTCTATGCAGGACGGCGCGGGTCCAGGATGGTCAGCGAGGGATCACCCCCACCGCTGCTGAGTGAACCGGCCCTTTTTAAAATAAAATTACCTTAGACACACATGCAAATCATATTTATAACAATGTTTTGTTACTTTTTACCTCCCTCTCTTCAGGATCTCCTTAATGGTAAACTTCCTGCTTTCTTTTAAAACCTTGCATACGTAAATATTTATTAGACATTTAAAAACATGGTGAAATTTGCATTTATTCCACTAATATGGCTATAAAAATGGTTTAAACACTGTTTAACTCACATACTACTTACATAAGAAACAGAAAAATGACTATATTCTGAAACCTAGTTGTTTTACTGTAATCAGTGATAATACATTCATGCCATTTAAAAAACTTAGGTAAAATATATATAATATAACAATACACAGTTTAGCCCTGGCCAGTGTGACTCAGTTGGCTGAGCATTGTCCCATGCAACAAAAGATTGCTGGTTCAATTCCCAGGTCAAGGCACATGCCCAGGTCTTGTGTTCAAACCCCTATCCGGGTGCATACAGGAGGCAGCCCATTGATGTTTCTCTCTCATCTCTCTCTTTCTCTCTCTCTCTCTTTCTCTCTCTCTCTCTCTCTCTCTCTTTCTCCCTCCCTCCCCTCCCCCTTCCTCTCTAAAATCAATAAAAACATTTAAAAATTTTACCAAAAATGTAAATAAATAAATAAACATTTTAAAGTATATAATTCAGTGGCTTTAGAATTTGAATAACGTACAACCACTAGTTCTCTAATTGTTAAACATTTTTATTCCCGTAAAAGGAGGCCCATACCCTTTAGCAGGCCTTCCCACTATTCCTACCCCAGCCTCTCATTACCACTAACTTTCCTGTCTCTGTGGTTATGCTTTTTTATATACAGATTATCCACATATTCACGTCTGACAGAGCTAATCATTTGCTTAGTTCTACTCACTTCTTAATTGTTCATTTACCAGTGCTATGTTATTGGCACCAGTTTAGTAAGAGTTTGTATATAGAAGGGAGGAACTCACATTTATTTCAAGCACCAAATAGATTACTGTATACGTGTTTTATTTATTAAAAGATTCTATAGCAATGAGATTTTGTGGTTCTCGTTCTTGGTTACTGCATAAATAACTGGCCTATATTTTATTTTAACTGAATAAAATGTATAGCTGAGAAGGGCACACTGGCTGAAGGGCACATGTAATTGCCCAGAAACCAGCGCTGTGTGATGTCACTGCTCCTGGGGGGAGGACCATTGTGATGGTGGAGCCGGCCTGCAGGCTGCCTTGCCCCCAGTGGTGGATGACGCAGACGAGGAAGGCCGCTCAAGGAGAGTTTATCTGAGATGGCATATGCTACCTCAGAAATTCAAGACGAGCCTCCTAATGATGGGTCCAGTGACTCAGAAACCGCCCTTCGACCTGCACTGTGTGATCACACCTGCCCTGGGGACTCGGAGCTGAGGTCTATGGTGGAGGAAAGTGCCTTTCAGGCTCTGTGCGAAGAAACCCTGACCAAAAGGCCACGTCGCACATTCTGTGCCTCTGAACCGGAGGAGGATAATGACTTCCTGTCCATGACCTTTCCCAGAAAACTGTGGAAGATCGTTGAAAGCGAGCAGTTTAAGTCTATCTGGTGGGATGAGAACGGAACTTCTATAGTGATTAACGAAGAGCTCTTTAAGAAGGAAGTTTTGGAAAGAAAGGCCCCTTTCAGAATATTTGAAACGGATAGTATGAAAAGTTTAGTTCGACAGCTTAACCTTTATGGATTTAGTAAAATGCGACAGAATTTTCAGAGGTCTGCCTCTCTAGCTGACTTTCTGGCAGAAGAAAAAGAAGTCTCTGTTCTAAGCAAGGTATTCAGACATTTTCAGTTACGACATATATAGGGATCTATATACATGATTATTTTGTGCATCAATATGTTCATATATATAAGCTAAAACCATATTTTTTATATTGTTAAATTACTTTTCAAAATTTAGGACAGTTTGGTTATGAACATTCAGGATTATAAGAAATTTTGCAAGTAACTTTGAACCTTACCAATGAACTCTACTTAAATGAAGGTCCTGAAACCATTTGAAGTGGTATTCACAGTCACTGTAAATATACAACACATTTTTGCTTGAAAACCATAATTAAATGTCCGTGCCTAATAAGTGAACGTTTAAAGATATTAACAGTATACGTGTATTATTTGATGACATTAACTTTGTGTGATAAAACTGAAATCATATTTTATAGGTTAGGTTTGTTACATTCTCATATCTTGCTTTAAGATGTCACTAAGTAACTTTCTCCTTTGGGTTTAGTTACAGTTCTTTCATAATCCCAATTTTAAACGAGGCTGTCCCCAACTCCTAGTGAGAGTGAAAAGAAGACTTGGAATTAAACATGCTTCTCCAGCATCTTCATTATTTCAAGATTTCAACAAGAAGCACTTTGGAGGACGGGGTCATGTGGATAACCATAATTCTGGTTTGGTTGCTGAAACAAGTGAAGAAAGTGTATTTTCACAGTCCACAAATTTAAATATGCCTCTCATCAGAAGTCCTGCTACCAGCCAAATAATTGTTAAGACAACTGCTCACATGAGAAGTAATTTTTCTCCTCCGTCATCTGCTTTAGCGAGACCATCAGAACAAGCTGCCAGGGATCGACGTGCTGTTTCAGACCCGCGGACCACCTGCCCTGCGCACTCACACAGCAGCTGCGCTCAGGCGAATTTCATCCCAACCGCGACCTCCGCTCTTCAGAACCACATCATTTCTCCCTTACAGAGAAGCTATTTTGAAAGAATGGTGCATCCTTCTACTTTTCCCAATAGATATTCTTATTCATCGGTCATTGATGGTCTTCCTCCTACCCTGCAACTGGCCGGCAGCCCAAGCTTCCCAATGCCGGTGATAGCTGATACATCTGCTGCCTCTTTCCAGGGCAACTCCTCAGATACCTTGATTACATGAACATCACCCTAATTACAAATGATCTACCAAAGAACTAGCAGACGAAGCAGGATAGCAAAAATAAAAATTTATGTTGGTGAATAGCAAAATGCCTGTAATTCTCTTTTTGAACACTAAACTTATACGTTCAACTTTATGGTTTCATTGTCCTTATTTTTGAAGTAGCTAAGAGTAAAAAGATGCCTTACTTCCTTGGCAGGCTATTTACTATATTTTAATATATATTTTTGATCATTAGGAAGAGTTAATATGCCTCCCTCTAATATATTATATCTAATTGACTGTTTAAAAAACAATCGTGGATGTAGAGGAAAAAGAAGAAACTCGAGTTAAGTAATTTGTGAAATAATTCAGGATAAATCAAATGAGGGCCTAAATTGGGATGGTGTAGCAGGGACAGAGAACTTTCTTTCTGCCAAGGGCCATTTGGATATTTACAACCTCATTCGCAGGCCATACAAAATTATCGACTTAAAAATTAACCTGCTCTGTTTGGTCAAACATTTAATACACTCACCCCTACTGTGATGGCTGGAACTGCTTCTCTGTGGTGGAGCTGTGACGTCCGCTGGCATGGATTTCAAGGGCCTTATATGGCCCACAGGCCAGACATGCCCACCTCCTGGAAGGGGTAGATACAAATAAAATATAGGAAAGGCAAATACACAGTATTTACCTTAGCATTTTCTCAATTACATTACATTTTTCCAGTTATTGTAAAGTTTAAGTACTTGTATTTTAATTGGAAGAGGTTGTCTTCATTAAGAATACATTTCGTTCTTTAAAATATTACATACTATCGTTACCCCAATAACCGTGATCACCATGATGCCATCGCTGAAATAATAAAGATGACATGATGTAGTCATAGATTTCATCACTGTCCCCAGGTGGTGGTATTTCACAAATGATATTATAGGGATGTATTTTTGCTCTGTACTCAAAGCATTACTACTTATTTGCACCTTTATGCCTACACTTCAGATTTTCTCATGCACATTTCTACATTGCTTTATGTCTCACCAGAAAACAGGCTTCATTCCTTATGCAGACCTCTGACATCTTTTAGATTCTGATCCCAGAATCGCAGCATGGCTCACAAGACCCTGAAGCTCCCATGTCTGTTTATCCCCGTGGCACTGCAACTCTGGCCTCACGTTCCCTTGTCCATCCCCTGCCGCGCTCAGCCTTGCAAACACCTAAGTCCCATCCAGGCCCCAGCTCTCCCTGGCTTAGAAGGCCCTCTCTTTGACTATTTAGATTACTATGTATCCATTCTCAACACAGATATCACTTTTCAGATGTTTTCTGTCTGTCTTTTTTTCCTACCCTGAACATCAGCACAGATGTAGCACAGTGTTTGACAAATATATTTTTAGTGTCTACTGAAGGAGCAATACATTGTATATTGACTTAAACCAAATAAAATTTACTTTATTTGCCAACAAACAAACAAACCTCCCATGGTCTTCAGTTTTGCTGGAGTTGGTCTTTACTCTTCACGGAGACTTTTATTTAAAGGGTATTCACGGCAGTGTTCACTAGAGAGGTAAAATTTTGATTTGTTAAAACTAGTAGATGTCATTGGTTGTCATTCTAAGCACCTACTGCAATGGTTCATTTCTAGTCATTTTATCACCATGCAAATCTGAACTCTTTTCCACCTTAAAGGTTTTCCCTTCTATTTTATTTAAATGTACTGATTATTACAGTCTCTCTAGCAATTTCTTTTTCATCTTCTGCTTTGAATGACAGGTTCTTCCTTGAAAGAATTTTTTGTGTATTTATCGATTCTTTATAGTGTAGTTTCCCAAATGTTTTGCTCAGATGCGTTCCAGTGACAACATTTATCCATGTTAGTCCTCTGAGACAGCAGGGTTGGGACAGGTTTGCACATGTAGAACCTCAGATTTGCAACCTATTGTTTCTCTCCTACCCCATACATATTTAAATTGTGCTTAATACGGAAAAGTTTGAAATAATTATTCTACTTGTGAAATTTTTATTCTTTCTTGATGACATAATATAATGGTTATATATACTCACGTTCCTTTAATGAATAACCAGTTTTAATTCTCAAAAGTATATTTATAAGAAGGTAACACAATGTTGTACATAGATAAATAAATGTTTCAAAAAAAACCAAACAAGGCCTAAAATAATAAAAAATGGAAAAATTCAAATGAGATAAATGAACATTAAGCAAAAAAGAAAAAAAATAGGAGAAAAATGAAAAGATGGAGTGGGATGCTGAAAATATTCATAAAGTATAGTAACTGTAATGCCAGAATAACATGTCAGAAAAACAAGAGTAAGAACAGTGAATGAACAAATGCAAGAAATAAAGAAGTCATCATGACTTGAATAGTCTCATATTCTCTCTACTTCCCCAACTTCTTAAAATGAATTTATTGGGGTGACAATGGTTCCCAAAACCATACAGGTTTCAAATGTAAAGCTTAATTCTGAACCATAACACTACATGATAATAATATAATCCATTTACAGAAATGTCTAACTGAGGAAATAGCCTAGGATTTGTTGAGATTCCGAACAAAGATATATGTTTGTAAGCATTCTTTTAGGTCTCATTAGTTTAATATCATTCAAACACAAAAATAATTTCCAACATTTGGCCCAAAAAGACTATCACAGATGTTCTGTGGAAAAGATAAAAGTAGACATAGTATACAAGATACTTTTCAAAAGTACAAATGGGCCCTGGCTGGTTTGGCTCAGCAGTTAGAGCATCGGTCTGTGGTCCAGAGAGACTCAGGTTTGGTTCCCGCTAGGGGCACGTACCTCGGTTGCAGTTTGTCCCTGGACTGGTTGGGGTGGTGCTGGAGGCAGCCACTCGATGTGTTCCTTTCATGTCAGTGTTTCTCTCTCTCTCTCTCTCTCTCTCTCTCTCTCTCTCTCTCTCTCTCCCCCTCCCTCTCCCTCTCCCTCCCTCCCTCCCACTCTATCTGAACAAAAAATGAAAAAATGTCCTCTGGTGAGGATTAAAAAAAAAAAAAAAAGAAGTACAAATGGCACCAAACCCAGGTTCAGCTGCCTGCTACTTCGAAACACAATACACAAACGACAGGTGCCAGTGTAAGGAAAATGGTTTATTTGAGTGCTGGCAATCTGAGAAGATAATAGACTCCCATCCCAAACATCATCATAACATCACAGTGCGTACAGCAGTTTTTACAGAGAGGAAGGGAGGAAGTAGAACAAAGAGAGCAGGGGAAGGGACTGTAGATGTGTAGGTCTTTGCTGGCCCTAACATAGAACTTTAATGTCAGCATACTGGAACCATTCAGCATCAGCCAAATTTCTGTGGTTGGAAGATCTGCCTCAGCCAAAGTCTTGTAGTCAGGGCTGATTCCTTTACAAACTGAAACTGCTGGTGTCTGCACTATGCTCATAAGAAAACTTAATATATGAGTTGTTTCTATACATTAATATATTTTATTCTAATTCTATTTGGTGCTTGGACAGAGTAGCATAATTTTGTACAAATTAATTAATTTATTTTTGTTACAGAAGTTCCTCCTTTTTCTCCCAGTGAGTCCCTCATTGATTCCCCCACTGATTGTTAGTCTGTACTGCACTTTCACATCTCTGGGACTACCCCATTCCTCAGACTGTTATGTTCATTATATTCCACAAATAAGTGAGATCATCTGATACTTGTCTTTCTCTGTTTGGCTTGATTCGCTTAGGATAATATTTTCCAGGTCCCTCCTTGTCAACTCAGAGGATAAGAGATCTTTCTTTCCTCCAGCTGCATAGTACTCCATTGTGTATATGTACTACAGCTATTTTATCTATTCGTCTACTGATGGACACTTGGTCTGTTTCCAGATCTTAGCTATTGTAAATAGTGCTGCTACAAACATGGGGGTAGATATATTCTTTCTGATTGGTGTTTAAGGCTTCCTAGGGTATATTCCTAGCAATGGGATCACTAGGTCAAATGGAAGTTCAATTTATAACTTTTTGAGATATCACCATATTGTCTTCCATAGTGGCTACACCAGTCTGCATTCCCACCAGTAGTGCACTAGAGTCCCCTTTTCTCCACACCCTCACCAACACTTGTTGTTTGATGATTTGTTGATTCCAGCCATTCTGACAGGTGTGAGGTGATGCCACATTGTTGTTTTAATTTGCATCTCTCTGATGATTAGTGATGATGAGCATTCCTTCATAAGTCTCTTAGCCATTTGTATGTCCTGTTTGGAAAGGTGTCTATTGCCCTGGCCAGTTTGGCTCAGCGGTTGGAAAGGTGTCTATTTACTTCCTCTGCCCATTTTTTAATTGGGTTCTTTGTCTTCCTTTGGTGGAGTTGTATGAGCACTCTATATGTGTTGGAAATTAACCCCTTATCTGATATATCATTGGCAATTATGCTCTCCCATACAGTGGGTAGCCTTTCCGTTTTGATGATTGTATCTTTTGCTGTGCAGAAGCTTTTGAGTTTGATGTAGTCCCACGTGTTTATTTTCTCCTTTGTTTTTATTGCCTTAGGTGATGTGTCAGTGAAAATTCTGCTGCGTATGATGTCTGAAGTTTTGTTGCCTACAGTCTCTTCTAGGATTTTTATGGATTCAGGAGTTACATTTAAGTCTTTTTATCCATTTGAGTTTATTCTTGTGTAGGGTGTAAGTTGATGGTCTAGTTTCATTTTTCTGCAAGTAGCTGTCCAATTTTCCCAGCACCATTTATTAAAGAGGTTGTCCTTACTCCACTGTGTGCTCTTGCCACCTTTGTCAAATATTAATTGAGCATATTGTCTTGGGTCCATTTCTGGGTTTCTGTTCTGTTCCACCGGTCTATATGCCTGTTCTTGTGCCAGTACCAGGCTGTTTTGATTACAGTGGCTTTGTAGTATAACCTGAAATCTGGTAATGTGATTCCTCCAACTTTGTTCTTCCTTTTCAAGATTGCTGTGGCTATTCGAGGTCTTTTTTGGTTCCATATGAACTTTTGAAATACTTGTTCTAATTTTG